ATTGGCCTGGCCAACATGGTGAAAGCCTGTCTCTACTAAAGATAAATATACTGTGTGAGTTCACTTATATGTGGAGTCAAAAAAAAAGTCAAATTTATAGAAACAGACAGTAGACTACTAGAGTCAGGAGGTGGGATCTAGTAGGGTTTGGGAATTTTAAAGTTTATTAGTTTAAGTTTCAAACACTTTGCCACATTTTTCTCTTGAAAACCAACAGCTTCTTTGGCCCTCAATTTCTCTTTAAAATGTTATATTTGGGCTCACGCCTGTAATCTCAGTACTTTGGGAGGTCGAGGTGGGTGGATCACCTGACATCAGGAGTTCGAGACCAGCCTGACCAATGTGGTGAAACCCTGTCTCTGCTAAAATACAAAAATTAGCTGGGCATGGTAGCGGGTGCCTGTAATCTCAGCTACTCGGGAGGCTGAGGCAGGAGAATCGCTTGAACCCAGGAGGCGGAGGTTGCAGTAAGCTGAGATCACGCCATGGAATCCAGCCTGGGTGACAAGAGCAAAACTCTGTCTCAAAAAAAAAAAAAGTTATGTTTGAATACTAAATGTGAGCTATCCATTGGAGAAAAAAGTAACAACAATAAGCCAAAAATAAGAAGAAAATACATAACTCCATCATTCAATGTATGTTTCTTTTCTTTTTTGAGAAGGAGTCAGTCTCACTCTGTTGCCCAGGCTGGAGTGCAGTGGTACGATCTCAGCTCATTGCAACCTCTGCCTCCCAGGTTCAAGTGATTCTCCTGCCTCAGCCTCCTGAGTTGCTGGGATTACAGTTACCCGCCACCATGTCCAGCTAACTTTTGTATTTCAGGTGAGACAGTGTTTCGCCATGTTGGTTAGGTTGGTCTCGAACTCCTGACCTCAGGTGATCCACCAGCCTCGGCCTCTCAAAGTGCTGGGATTACAGGCATGAGCCACTGCGCCTGGCCAACATGTCTTTTAATGACGGTGTTATCATGAATTGTATGAATGGTTCTTTTAGGATTTGTTGAACCTGTCTTCTGTTTTTAGGCAGTTAGGCTTGTTTTCCTATTTTTCAGTCTTATAAACAATATCATGAGGTAAATTCTGGTAGATCAGGGTTTCTCAGTCTCAGCACAATTGACATTTTGGGGGCTGGATAATTCTTTGCTTTGGGGGACTATCCTATGCATTTAGGAGGTTTGGCGACATCTCTGGCCTCTATATTCACTAGGTTTTGGAGCAACCCCACTCCTCCACTGGTGACAATCAAACATGCCTCCAGACATTGTCAACAGTCCCTGTGGGTAAAAATCATGCCTGGTTGACAGCCACTATTGTAGGTGAATATTTTAGCTCCTACTTAAAGCCTTAGGTCAATTACTAAATAACTTATCCTCTGATGGCTTAATCAAAGAATAAGCACATTCCCTCTGGGAAGGTTGTACCCAAATAGATGTTTCCTCCAACAGCCGAAGAGGATTTCAGTGTGAAAAACATTGAATTAGATATCAGGTTCATTTTAACTTTTGAAATATTCCTAACAACTTTATGAAATTTGTGTTTTCAATATCTCTATCTATAGCCTTTCTTTACTAATTTTTGCAGGTCTTTTAAAATTATCTTGTAAAGACTTTTACTGCAGGTATTTGTGTGGGTCTGTGGATGGCCATCTACTGGTCTTTCACTGCAATGACAGTGTCATCCTACTTTTTCCAAAAGGAAATTTACGACAGTCAAAAACTACTGAATTCATGGTACACATGCAGAAATGTCTGAATCACATTTAAAAAGGCAAATTGTTGAATAAATGTGGATGAGTCTGTTTAGACACAACAGTAGTCCCCGCCTTATCCCTGGTTTCACTTTCTGAGGTTTCAGTTACCTGCAGCACAGTTCAATAAGATACTTTGAAATCAGAGAGACCACATTCATGTAACTTTTATTACAGTATATGACTACCA